GGGAGGCATGCGGATGGGAACCACGTTTCATCAACGGAGCCGGCCCACACTCCTTCACAGGCAAACACAAGCACGCTGTATTTGGGGAATCAACCGCACACAAGGCGGTGGCTGGACCGTAGTCCGCTCCACACTGACTGCATGGAACCACTCTTTGAGCCTAGCACGGCCACAAGAACCGTGCACCCCGTCCCCTCCAGCAACGACCAACTGTCTCCTGGAGCCAGTATGAACGATGTAGTGGGTAATAGACAGGTAGGCACCTTGTCAACATACACATCAAGCGCAACCATACCAGGGATATCAAACAACAGCCATTCACTTTAAACGACAAGCTGAAATTAAATAAATCCAATAATGCATACAGATACGGTGGCATAACTCTTCGCTAAATTACCATATGGAGTAAGTTGGTTAGCAACAAATCCGTGATAAGTAAGAAATGTCCACAAGTTACTCAAAATGCTACAAACGCAACAAAATTACCGAAAATAAGCGCAATTAGTGTAAGCAACGTGGCCAGTTAATAGAACATTATTCAGGGAGGCAGAACAAACCAAATAAAGCGGAATGAAATTTAGCCAGCTTAAAAAGACCGAGTTTAAGTGTAAGTTGGTTTAGCCCAACTGCGGTGAAGAAGCATCAAGAATGCAACATCAGCCTCAGCATGGGGCACACATACATACATGGTTGGCGGCATCCGGTTTCGGATTTGCCTGTCACTGTGGCAAGCCACAGGACGCCTGCGCCTACAGAGGGACCATGGATGGCTTGCGCTGCACCACCCACAGCTCCAACCACATACCCCATATCCAGTGTAAACCCGAAGGAATAAGACCGGGAGGCATGCGGATGGGAACCACGTTTCATCAACGGAGCCGGCCCACACTCCTTCACAGGCAAACACAAGCACGCTGTATTTGGGGAATCAACCGCACACAAGGCGGTGGCTGGACCGTAGTCCGCTCCACACTGAGTGCATGGAACCGCTCTTTGAGCCTAGCACGGCCACAAGAACCGTGCACCCCGTCCCCTCCAGCAACGACCAACTGTCTCCTGGAGCCAGTATGAACGATGTAGTGGGTAATAGACAGGTAGGCACCTTGTCAACATACACATCAAGCGCAACCATACCAGGGATATCAAACTACAGCCATTCAATTTAAACGACAAGCTGAAATAAAATAAATCCAACAATGCATACAGATACGGTGGCATAACTCTTCGCTAAATTACCATATGAAGTAAGTTGGTCAGCAACAAATCCGTGATAAGTAAGAAATGTCCACAAGTTACTCAAAATGCTACAAACGCAACAAAATTACCGAAGATAAGCGCAATTAGTGTAAGCAACGTGGCCAGTTAATAGAACATTATTCAGGGAGGCAGAACAAACCAAATAAAGCGGAATGAAATTTATCCAGCTGAAAAAGACCTAGTTTAAGTGTAAGTTGGTTTAGCCCAACTGCGGTGAAGAAGCATCAAGAATGCAACGTCAGCCTCAGCACTAACATGGTTGGCGGCATCCGGTTTCGGATTTGCCTGTCACTGTGGCAAGCCACAGGACGCCTGCGCCTACAGAGGGACCATGGATGGCTTGCGCTGCACCACCCACAGCTCCAACCACATACCCCATATCCAGTGTAAACCCGAAGGAATAAGACCGGGAGGCATGCGGATGGGAACCACGTTTCATCAACGGAGCCGGCCCACACTCCTTCACAGGCAAACACAAGCACGCTGTATTTGGGGAATCAACCGCACACAAGGCGGTGGCTGGACCGTAGTCCGCTCCACACTGAGTGCATGGAACCGCTCTTTGAGCCTAGCACGGCCACAAGAACCGTGCACCCCGTCCCCTCCAGCAACGACCAACTGTCTCCTGGAGCCAGTATGAACGATGTAGTGGGTAATAGACAGGTAGGCACCTTGTCAACATACACATCAAGCGCAACCATACCAGGGATATCAAACAACAGCCATTCACTTTAAACGACAAGCTGAAATTAAATAAATCCAATAATGCATACAGATACGGTGGCATAACTCTTCGCTAAATTACCATATGGAGTAAGTTGGTTAGCAACAAATCCGTGATAAGTAAGAAATGTTCACAAGTTACTCAAAATGCTACAAACGCAACAAAATTACCGAAAATAAGCGCAATTAGTGTAAGCAACGTGGCCAGTTAACAGAACATTATTCAGGGAGGCAGAACAAACCAAATAAAGCGGAATGAAATTTAGCCAGCTTAAAAAGACCGAGTTTAAGTGTAAGTTGGTTTAGCCCAACTGCGGTGAAGAAGCATCAAGAATGCAACATCAGCCTCAGCATGGGGCACACATACATACATGGTTGGCGGCATCCGGTTTCGGATTTGCCTGTCACTGTGGCAAGCCACAGGACGCCTGCGCCTACAGAGGGACCATGGATGGCTTGCGCTGCACCACCCACAGCTCCAACCACATACCCCATATCCAGTGTAAACCCGAAGGAATAAGACCGGGAGGCATGCGGATGGGAACCACGTTTCATCAACGGAGCCGGCCCACACTCCTTCACAGGCAAACACAAGCACGCTGTATTTGGGGAATCAACCGCACACAAGGCGGTGGCTGGACCGTAGTCCGCTCCACACTGAGTGCATGGAACCGCTCTTTGAGCCTAGCACGGCCACAAGAACCGTGCACCCCGTCCCCTCCAGCAACGACCAACTGTCTCCTGGAGCCAGTATGAACGATGTAGTGGGTAATAGACAGGTAGGCACCTTGTCAACATACACATCAAGCGCAACCATACCAGGGATATCAAACAACAGCCATTCACTTTAAACGACAAGCTGAAATTAAATAAATCCAATAATGCATACAGCTACGGTGGCATAACTCTTCGCTAAATTACTATATGGAGTAAGTTGGTTAGCAACAAATCCGTGATAAGTAAGAAATGTCCACAAGTTACTCAAAATGCTACAAACGCAACAAAATTACCGAAAATAAGCGCAATTAGTGTAAGCAACGTGGCCAGTTAACAGAACATTATTCAGGGAGGCAGAACAAACCAAATAAAGCGGAATGAAATTTAGCCAGCTTAAAAAGACCGAGTTTAAGTGTAAGTTGGTTTAGCCCAACTGCGGTGAAGAAGCATCAAGAATGCAACATCAGCCTCAGCATGGGGCACTAACATAGTCATATACATACAGACATACAGTCCAGTAGGTTACTGGTTAACTTGCTATATTTTTGGTCAACTACCGACCATACCTGTTCGTAGTATCATGATTATACCTTTGCAGGCGTGCCGTGTACTGTCGGAGCTGCCAATTGGTGCTAGACTGCAGACCGGAAACTTCCTTATTACTAAAAAAGATACTAAATTTAAGGTTGATTCTAGCCTGATGGGACATTTACAAGATTCTGCAGCCTGAGATTTGTAAAGAATGTGGTGCCGAAGATACTTAAATAACCAGCCAATATGCAGGGATTGGTCGATTTTTACAAGAACGGCAGTCGTAAAATTTCCGGAAACCTTGTGTGCGTCTAAATCTAGACTACCGGGACATATAAATACTGACGAGTGTAAATGTGCGGCACTCACTCATACATTTTTGGACCAAGCAGTCAATACGGTATAACGAGAAACGAAATATTTGCTCTGACAACCACTGAGGAGCGTTACGAAAAGTTAGAACACCGCCGCCACGAATGCGGTATGTGCATGGGTGGGCAGCACGAAAAACAATTTGCCAACCGCTGCAACGGCGTTTTAAACATCTGTATGGAGCCACGTCTCCTAAAACTTTATCCCTAGATGTGCGCATACACGACAGTTTATAAGGTTTTTGAGGTCCCTCGTATGTCACAGAAACGAACGGCAGCTGGCCATCTTAAAAACGGGAATGCATATATTCGTCGTTCTTCTTCCAGAGAGCAACCCCCAGCTGGCACAATTTTTCAGTACAGGTTTATTCCAGCATAGAAAACATGGTAGGTGAGTAAAAGAAAAAGTTTTAAAATGAATCGTTGACAGCGTGTCAATGATTCCTTGAAAGATAGGTAGAGCACGGTCAAGTTTGTAAGCCCGCCGAGCTTAAATTAGTTCAACTGGCTGCGCTGTTCACGGAAATGTACTGCTTGTATTAGGTCCGATGGTGACCTTGTACTGATCCCTAAGGTAAGGAGACCGTTGTACCTCAGGTAGACGACCATTGGTTCTTCGTTTTCTCTTTACCATCACATTCGGTCTACTGTGGTCTCTTACTAGGTGCTTGAGACATGAGAATCCAGCCACCTACGTGGTGTTTGCTTTGCATTGCAGCTCCCCAGGTCTATTATGACCTACGTACACGCTGGGCACGAAAGCCTTCGGAATCCACGACCGATGCACAGTATATATTTGGCGGCGCTGCCAGTTCCCGACAGCAGTCCATGAAGCCGGATCCTTGCCTTGTGAGGCGATCATTAACTTTCCTGTGACCACACTGCGTGGTGGAATCTCGAATCTAGCATACCATGTTCCTCAGGGGTACACCAGCAGTTCGTAGATAAGGCATGCTACACATTTAGCGACCCTGCCTGCTACGGACAGCAATCCGTGAGGATGGATCGTTGCCCTCTGAGGCAATCATTAACTGTGACCATACTGTTTGTCGTGAAACCTGGAATCCAGCATACCGTGTTCCTTAGGGGTACAGGAACAGATCGTAGATCAGACGCATGTTACACTCCCATCCAGGGACAACACTTCCGTCGTCATATTTGTTTCACCTGTTTATATATTGCCGCGCATGAGACAATACGAAATTTTAACACAAACTAGCCTTCGCCTTTTAGCTGCCTCATTTCGAATTCAAACTAGAGCTAAGTACTTCAAATAAGCGTCTTGTCGAGAGATGTCAGATTACCGAAGTAATGTGCTCCATAGAAAATATACCCGTTCAATATTGCTGAATGAGACACGCGTTGTGTTGCAAAAATAATAGAAATTCCGCCCACACCTACCTTCTATTCTGCAGAAAGGAGGAGGCTGCATCCTTCACCCGCTCTATGCGAGCAAACAGATTTTTGTAGTAGTATGAAGGATCCCAGTAATCCGCCTCTGAGGAAGCAGTCTCACCGGAGACTGGCCGGTTGGCTTTGATGGATCGCATCTCAATAACTTCGTTGTTATCAAAGTTATCGTAGTTCGTATTCACTGAAGCTGGGACCCTTATGGTTTTCAGATTAGTTATGTCGGAAGTCCAGAGATGGTTAAGTAACTTGAGGTGCTGTACCTGTCAACACCAATTAGGCGCGGAAAGAGACTCACGGTGGTTCCATACTGTACCGCAATGGATGTAAGCGTATCCCCGGATCCGATATTATGAGAATGGCACAGTCGGTCAGAAATGCTGCTTTCATTAAGCGAGCCGTACTGTCTCTTCCGACAGTTGGTTAGAATAGAAAAGTCTTCCGACATTTACCGACACAAATTTCATGGTCGACCTTGAGAGGGTCAGGTCAGCTGTAATATGTTCCGGAATGTAGGTTCGAGACACGGATGATAAGTCCAGGCTATAAACTATGGACAGGTGTGGATCAGCGACCAAGTAACTAACGCAGTAACCCGTACGAAATGATAATCATGCATGGAGAGGATTCTTAAGCGAGCTCTCAACCTGCACTTCCAGAACCTCAAGATCATTTCAGCTGCGCAGCATGGGTTTTGTCCTTCGCGTTCATGTGTCACCAATCTTCTGGTAGCTCGAGAAAAGTGGGCTAAATCCATGGATGCTGGTAAGCGGCTAGATGTCGTATTTGTGGATTTTAGTAAAGCCTTTGACAAGGTTCCACACGAAATTTTGCTTAGCAAACTTCGAAGTATTGGTGTTTCAGGAAAAATCCTCTCTTGGCTCACTGATTTCCTGAATGACCGCGCTTTCCGTGTACAAGTAAATGAGGCCTTTTCCTTCCCTGTAAATATGACCAGCGGTGTTCCGCAAGGCTCTGTTCTTGGCCCTGAACTTTTTAAAGTCTTTATTAATGATCTGGCATCTGTACTACGGGCAGATTGTTTGATTTACGCGGATGATTTAAAGATATGGATGGAAGTCTCCTGTCTGGATGAAGCCGATTTACTACAAACAAGGCTCGATTCGCTGCATGAGTGGTCGATCAGGTGTCAATTACCCATAAATCACGATAAATGTTCCGTTCTTCCGATTGGTGCCTCCGAACCATTTGGAATTTATCATATCGGTGGGTTTTTGCTGCCGAACTCTAATCGTGAGAGGGACCTCGGCGTCATTGTGACCCCAGACCTAAAATCGACCGAAGATACCTTGAGGAAAGTCGCTTCTGCCAACAGGTTGTTTTTCGCCATACGACGATCCTTCTCTCGCTTGACTCCGGAGATCTTCAGGCTCCTGTTCACTTCTCATGTACGTCCGGTTCTTGAGTATGGACTGCCCGCTGTTTATCCTCTTTCCAAATTTGAGTGCAACTTGATTGAAAAAGTTCAGCGGAGAGGATCTAAATCCGTTCTGGAATTACGAAACCTGCCTTACTCGCATCGTCTCCAGTGCCTGAACTTGTTCTCCCTAGCCTACCGTCGAGATCGCGGGGATTTGATTTTCACAAGGCGTATCGTTAGAGGGGAACTTGGAGTTGAATTGCAAATTTCTTTCCACTCAATTCTTTCAGTTCGACTCGGGGTCACCATTGGAAATTGTTTAAACAAAGGAGACTTCGGGTCCGTTGTGATGTCACTCTGTCTACCAGAGTAGTGAACGAATGGAATAATCTACCTGTGTGTGTCGTTGATGCGCAGTCGGAGGAATGTTTCAAACATCAATTGGATTCTTACCTGTTGAGTAAACTCGGATCTTGTTGCTTCTTGTGTCAATGCAGCGGTTCCATTGGAACCGACTTGCAACGTCCACCTTGATCCCTGTGACGAACGGGAGGTGATGGAGCTGACAAAGGATTTTTCCTTCTGCTCTCTACATTCCAATGTTCCAAAAAAAAATGACGACGATGATCTAATGAGTCCAATACAAGTAGGAGCGATTAGTACCGAAGCAGATATGTTAAACAGCGTGGCACGCGTAGAGCGTAATACACAGCAAGCAAGTGTCTAAACAAGTTGTTTACAAGGAACAGGTAATGGGGGTTGCGTTTTAGTCCCTACATTCATTGTGCATTCAATCAGTCAAGCCTTGTCAAACAACCAAAGGAGACGTTGGTAATGGCGGGCAATTTAAACAATTCATTTTGGTTTCATGTTAAAGTTCAGATGGAAGTGGAACGGTAAGCTGAATCCCGTAAGTGTTCCTTCTTGCGTGGGTCATTGATGAAAGAGTTGATAGGGGGGTGCTCCGACTTCTTGATGGATCTAAAACGAAACATCCGAAAAGCACCCTGATCCAACAAATTAATGCCCACGTTTCTTATATTAGCTGGCCCTGCCATGCCAGATACTTGAAGTATGTAAGAGTGGGAGAAAACCGAAGGGAAAGCGTAAGGAAAATTGGTTAAAGCACAGAATACTACCAGTGCTGAGGGAAAGTAAAGAAAATAGGATCGCAGTATGAAGATGGGAATTAGTCAGGAAAGTTAAAGGGTTCGTGTTGCCACCCAAGGTCATCTAGGTGACGTTCAAATCCCTTGACTTTAGCTTCCTTGAAAAACATATTCTGGCAGCACTTTTCAGCGCTCTATGAGTAGACGCGATAACCAGGTCTCCGCTCTAACTCGATCGAACTGCTACTTGTCTACATTCCAACCATGCCCGCAGAGACCAGATAATCTAGCAGGACTAAATAGCCAGGACAGAATAGGGCCAACCTTCCGAGGCGAAATACGGTAGGTTAGGTTTAGGTCCGTTCTAATCCTTCGATAGTGCACTGAATGCATCCCCAAACTAAATAGGCGCTCGGGGTGCGTTTGTTCCCGTAACCCCACAACCAACCAATTGCCGACACGCAACGACTTTTCTTGTGCTATTTTGGCCCGGACAGGGCATGGTGGACAGGCCTGGACGCAACGTACTAGGTGTGGTCTCACTGTACTACATTTGCTCCGCTTCTAGGTAGGGCACCTTCCACAGTGCCAGTGAATGAGGAACCACGGCGAGACACCCCTCAACTGTCGCTTCTACAGTATGGTCGACTTTCGGGAGACAACCGGGTGGCAAGATTCCATCCATGGGCGTAGAACTTTAAGAGTTGTCATTGGGTTTACTTGCTTGTACTGAACGGTAATTACGTTGGCGTTTGGATCCTTAACGTTTCGAAGTACACACAGAGTAGGCAGGCGTACGAACACACTCTCATATGACCATTACGATTTCCGATGCAAGGTTGCTGGTGCGCCAGCTGGAGGTCTCTGTCGGTGTAGCCATACGCGGTCACCTTTTCTGTATACGGATGCTGGAGTTTGGCGATCATGCTACTTCTTTTGACTGTGCTGCGCTCTATTCATATGCTTCTGTGCGCATTGAAACTCTACTCGGATTCGCTCACTTGTATCGCGGACGTATTCCCATATAGTGTAAGATTCAAGCGGACAGACAGGCGGCATTAATTCAGAGGTGAGCGAACTTAACGGCTGAGAGTAAGACTAGCCGGCGAATCGTCGGTTGTAGAGTGCATCCGGGGCCCGATATGCTATCAGAACTTGTGGCAATGCTTCGTCCCACTGAGTAGGCTGATGGCGTTTGACGAAGCTATGTAGGATAGCTTTGATAGCTTTGTTAGTCCGTTCAATGAGCCCATTTCCTTGTGGCTGATACTGTGTAGTTATTGGCTAGCAAGCGGCAGGTGTTTTGCAGTAGATGACTCCCAAAAGCCTCGCCATGAGCGAAGTGCAAGGATACGGGTGCGCCTTTACGAGCCGTCCACACGTTAATGATAGTGCAAGCGATAGTGGATACATTTTGGCATCTGAAATATATTGCCTCGCACCACCTCGTAAAGTCCTTTATCACAACTAGTATGAAGCAGTTCCCGCTCTTTGTTATCGGCAAAGCACCAATGATATTCACTCCAATTCCTTGCCCTGGTGCTGAAGTAACTACTGGTTCTGATGGAGCACGATGGACCGGCACCTTTGATTTAAAGCAACACCTGGATTACACGACGCACAGAATTGAACGACATCAGCGTGAATTCCAGGCCACCAGTAAGGTTGACGAAATGCGGCCTCCGTTTTCAACTTACTGGAATGGCCCAGTTGTTGCTGAACATTCTGTAGCTGTGAATGGCTAGCCGAACAACCTACAGGTAGTGCTAGCTGGGTGGTCGGCGTTAACCTTGTTTCAGCGATTGGTTCAGCGGCAGTGTTCCAAGACGTGACGGGTATTCGCCTAGCAAACGTTCTACCTATTAAAAGCCACAAAGGTCGGTTTAACAACACTGTGACTTGGCGGATTTGCTGCGCCACTAATTAATGTCACTGCTTCCTGTCTTCCGTAGTATTATACCTCAAGCCGGGACGTCAGTCAATTCGAAGATATTATTGGCTGGCCAGCCGAACAACCTCCTCGTGGTGCCAGCTGGATGGCGCGGATAACTCCCGTTCTAGCAAATGGTTCGGCGGCAGTGTTCCAGGATGTGGTGGGATTTCGCCTGGCAAGCGTTCTCCCTATAAAAAGCCACAAGTATCCGTTTAACATCACTGTGACGTGGCAGATGTGACGCGCCACTAAATAAAGTCACTGCCACTTCCCTTTTCCGGAGGATCATTCACACATCACGGACGACATCTTATTCAATGCGTTCCATTGATTCCCCTTCGATGGCAAACACAACGAACAAAATCACACACCGCCACCTTTACCTACTCACACAACATGTCCGCTTCCAAATACACAGTTAAACCTAGTTTTACATCTCAACACACACACAAATTCCTATGCTATTGGTAAAAATATATTAATTTGTGCAATTGCCGATCAGACATGTCTGTAATACCATGATCACGCCCTTGATGGTTTACCTCGCAGTGACGAGAATAAACTGTTTATTTGTTTATTTATTTAGGTAGGCGAGTTCACCGAGCACAACCATAAACTCAGTACCACAATAACAAATTCACTCAACAGGATTACCAAACCATGACCTTATATATTTATACAAAACATCTCTCCAGTATTTATTGGTTACATGCAAACGCTTGCGTCAAATACTGTTTGTACGCTCTGTATTACTGTGATCATGCCTTTTAGGCGTGCCCCGCATAGTTGGTCAAAAAATTTCAGCTGTTTATTTTTTGAGTATTCCAAGAGCTCGGGCCATCTGAGTGATCCGTATCGGATCAGATTTCTCCGCACGTTTCCGAACACCGTCGATGATTCTCAAGTACCTCCAGTGCACTAGTTGGGAGGGCTCTTTTGTAGTATCTTCACGAAGTTCAATTCCAGTGTGTTTCGAGGAGATATGCAACTGTCGGTTGTCGGTGTTAGCTATGTGCGGCTCATCCGTGTGCTCTTCAGCCTATGCAATACCGATCTGTGGAGTTCCGAAAGCCGAACTGACCTGTTCGGATCTCACCAACCTTGCCAGCACGCCTGCGTTTGATTGTCTTGTCCCGGTACGATATTCGCAGGTAAACTCGTATTCTTGAAGCTGT